AAGAAGACGAGACAAGATAACAGAACAAGATAAGAGAAGTACCACATTTACTAGAGCAGGTTTTACTGCAGCTTTCTCTAACAGTCTTTGGCGATGTGATCTGACTTTTTTTTGGACCACATTCAGGCAACAAATTCTTGTACTAAATGTAAACTTTTTTTTTTTAAACTTATGTGACATTAAAAGGTGAGATTTTAATTTTAAAATAAACTTAATAATGTGCACTGTGCAGCTGAGCTCTCGTGTTTCTTGCTCTTGTTCACTTTGGTGCTCTAAGTCTTGGTTTTAGAATTAAACCTTTTCTGTCCCTACCAAAACACACTCTGAAATTCTTGTTTAGAAGATGATCTGTCCCTGGAAGCGTGTTGCCTGGAACTCTGTACAAAGTGGCATAATTAGGTCTGATTTCTACCTCTTTACCTTCTTGTCTATTACTGTTATCACAAAATCTGGAAAGCTCCCAAAATAAAGTGAATATGGATAAAGCAGTAAGACTGTTTTCTTCCAGCCATTGTAATTTGTCCTTCAGGTTTAGTTTACTTTGTGGTATCATTATTCAACTCGGGATGCATTTATATCTCTGTTGTATAATGTCCATCTCACTAGGTATGTGTACTATGTTGGTAGCTTTAAAGTTCTATGAATTTGCACAGGGTAGGATTAAAATTGGAAAGACTGTTTTGCATTTCCATAGAATTAAGTGTCCAGAACCTCTGGAATGTAAGTATACAGGAGGCCTGATTTCTGATTTGTATGAAAGACTGATTGTGTGCATTGTGGCATATGTGCAGCAGAGGAATGACAATTTATGATTGCAACAAGTTTGCTTATTGCAAGTGAATGGGGGCTTTTATTGAAAGATAATCCAAAAATGCTGAAGAATTCACAGAATTATTTAGTCAAAATTTAAAAAAGGTTGAGTAAATTAGATGATGTAAAAGAACATCTGAAACATTAGCAGAGTGAAAATCCTTTTGGCCAGTGATCTAGACAGTACAAAGGCAAAATTATTCTGGAAGCTCTGCATTCAGGATATACCATACCTCATTAAAAGTGGGAGTATCAGAGTTTTGTTCTGGGCTCTCATTTCTTGTACAGTCTTAGGCAAGTAAGATTATTTACCCAATGTGTTCTCCATTTTAAAATGTGTTTCTGTGGGCAGAACTTCAAAATAGTTGAAAACGGGCCTAAAGCATACATTTGCTTATGTTATGTTCTATAATTACTCTTGAATTTCTGATAAGATCAGCCAAAGAAGAGTGAAATGGGACTCCTAAAATACAAAGGAGCTTGTCACAGTGGAAATTTTACAACAGTGTGCCTTCTGAACAGGAAAGTGGTATTTTTCCCTTTAGTCAGTTTGAAGAATCAAAGGTCAGTAGACTCCTTCAGATTTCCACATGAAAACCAGCATTGGTGGTGCGTTTAGCTCTAGCTATAGATTTCCAGCTTCTAAGAAGCACAGTTTAGTGTTCTTCCTAAAGGGATGTTTCGGGAAGGAGTCAAGAGAGGACAGACATTCCAGAACCTCATTTTGCCTCCTTAGCAAGAAAAGGACTAAGAAGCTGAGCTTCAGGTTTTTTTTCCTTGAATGCTAATTTTGCAGCTTAATGGCAGGAAGGAGATAGTAAAATAAATGCCATTTTCTGGCAGTAATCTGGACTCTGTGTGTGATACAAATTCTTTTTATCACTAAAGGAAGCTTGGTAATGATTTGTTTGTAGGCACATTGCCAAAATGCAAAGACTTTCGGGCTAGTTCATAAATAGCTGTGCTCTTCGAGCTTTGCAGTCTGTTCAAATTTAAACCTTCCCATCATTCTAGAAATGGGAGTATGTGGAGAGGGGGAAATGAACATTTTTCTGGCTTTGAGTCACTGGGCAGACTGCAGTGAATACTGGCTTTGATTCTGTAAGGGACTTTTTTCCTTCAGTCCACCCAATTTCATAAAGTGAGGATTACTAACTTGTTCACCACATTCCAGCTGGTCAGTGTGTGGTGCTGAGAGAAGGAATTCTCGGATAGCTAGAAGACATAGCAGTGCTTTTTGTTTTAGGTACATTGGAACTTAAACACTGACCTTGCGTTTCTGTAAGGTGAGTTCCTGGAACTTGGGATTTCTTTGGTTTGCAAGATTGCAGACTATCATGAGCATCTTATCCAGACCCCTATGGCAGGAGGCTTGGGCTATGTGATCTTTCAAGGTCCCTTCCAACCCAAACTGTTATATATTTCTGTGGCCTTTATTTAATTATTTATAATTTACTATTGAAAATGGAGACTCTTAACCAGGCAGATCCATTAGTACAAAAAAAAAAAGTAAAATTGACAATGTGGAAAAATAATGGCAGTGAATGTTTTTTTTGAGTCAGAGTGAAACCAAATTTGTTATTAATATGCTTTCTGGTCCAGCAGGACATTTGCCTATTTTAGAAGGATATTAAACCTATTTACATCTCAGTGTTGTCTGATGCTTTTTTTTTGATAGAATTGATGGGATATTCTAGGCAATAAGAGTGCATTTAATACTTACATTGCTGTAAGATCTGGCTAGCACTGATCAATATTTGTATCAGTTGTCTGATATAAAATATGAAATCCTTTCCCAGACTTGCTCAGGGTGGGTGTTGATTGTAATAATAAATGGAGGCAAGTAGACAGATTGCCTGTCCCTCCCCTATGAGGGACAGATTATGTACAAAGATTCATTTAGTCAATCAGGTTGTCCTAGGGTGGACAAATGTGAGGTCATGACGTGTGAAGGATGTTTGCTGTATACTAAATAGCAAAGATCTGCATTCTGGGTAAGCAGAGGGGTCCTCTTCAAAAGATGATGATTTCAGTGGCTACTGCACAACTTGGGTACAAAAGCAAGTATTAGCATGTTGTTTGTCTCTCTCAAAACCCCAAACTATTGAAGCATCTAGATAGCTTACTGTAGGCTGGAAGAAGTTTCATTTTATTTATCAAAAAATTAAAGCTTTAAGCAGCTTGTTGAGTTAAATTGCTGATGGAAACAGATAATAAGGCCTTACTCTAAAGAGAGAGCTGTAACATTGGACAAATGCGCAGCCAGCTCTGGTCTCTGACTCAAAGTTCAGGGAACTTACCTGAACATTACTGATAGTATTTAATAGATAAAGTATGTGAGGTTATATACTGAATTCTCTGGCACCTGTGTTGGAGCAATCCCAGGCACAGCTACAGGTTGGGCAGAGAAAAGATTCAGAGCAGCCCTGCAGAGAAGGACTTGGGGGTGTTGGTTGATGAGAAAATGAACATGAGCTGGCTTCAGTGTGCACTTGCAGCCCAGAAAGCCAACCATATCCTGGGCTGCATCAAAAGGAGCGTGACCAGCAGGTCAAAGGAGGTGATCCTGCCCCTCTACTCTGCTCTTGTGAGACCTCACCTGGAGTATTGTGTGCAGTTCCGGTGTCCTCAACATAAAAAGGACATGGAACTGTTGGAACAAGTCCAGAGAAGGGCCACGAGGATGATCAGGGGACTGGAGCACCTCCTGTATGAAGGCAGGCTGAGGAAGTTGGGGCTGTTGAGCCTGGAGAAGAGAAGGCTGCGTGGAGACCTCATAGCAGCCTTCCAGTGTCTGAAGGGGGCCCTACAGGGATGCTGGGGAGGGACTCTTCATTAGGGACTGTAGTGATAGGACAACGGGTAACGAGTTAAAACAGGGGAAGTTTAGATTGGATATAAGGAGGAAATTCTTCCCTGTTAGGGTGGTGAGGCACTGGAATGGGTTGCCTAAGGAAGCTGTGAATGCTCCATCCCTGGCAGTGTTCAAGGCCAGGTTGGACATGGTTTAGTGTGAGGTGTCCCTGCCCATGGCAGGGGGGTTGGAACTAGATGATCCTTTCCAACCCTAATTATTCTATGATTCTCTGGTACTTCAGATGGCATTACTGGTAAATAATCTTGATTTTTAAAGTTGTAAACCTTTATATGGGACTTGGAGGGTGAAAAATTGTGACATATGATATGGAGGAGCACAGTCTCTGACAGCGTGCAGGGTTTTCTTGGCTTGGTCACAAGGTGCTGTGTGTAGCAGCTTTCTGCCTCAATCCCAAAGAGTACAAAAGGCTCATTCTCTCTTTTCTAGCTTTCTCAAACTTGTTTACCTTGGAAGCTGAAGGAGTCTCTGGTGGCCCATAAGCATTGTAGTAAGCAAACATTTGTGTCTTGTCACACACACCAATATTTTTGATATTAATATGTAGATAATGTGGTAACTCAGCATAGGGTAGAAAACTACCAAACCTCATTCCTATAAAGTTATTAGTGATGTATACCAGCTGAATATTCAGGTTCAGCGGTGTTTTTTGTTTTGGTTTTCGTAATTCTTTTGGTACACCTTGGGGGTATGGATATTTCTCTTTATTTGAATTTTGTTTAAAACTGTGTAACTGCTTTTCTTTGATAACTTGCCTTTGTGTAACTGACCAAAGTTTCATACTAGATTCTGAAATAACTTAAGGCGAATAAATGTCTGAAGTGTCAGTTAAACACAATAGAGACCTTCAGATTTGAACTAGAAACTGAAATGAAGCATTTATAACTAAGTAAATAGATTCCTTTGCTTGGCCTTTATTGTTCTAAAATTCTGTGCATGTTATAGAGGCATTAAGGCAGACATAGTGACATTGAAACGGAAAATAGGAAGTAATTCTTCCCTAGAGGTAGGTAGGCTGCAAGCCTCAGACTCCATATCTGGGCTTTAATGAGGCATAACTTACAGAAGAACACTGCTTTCTTCCAAACATGGTGAAAACGTGTGTGAAATGGATTAGACATGTGAGTTGTTCTCAGATACCTAAGAATGTAATAATTTTTTTTTGCTGGTTCTCTTGAATTCCTTCCTCAGTGCTGAACAGGGGAAAAAAAGGCTATTTGCCAAGACTTCAAATCATAGTTTTCTATGGAGAACGTCACCTTCCTCCATTCATTTTTCTGAAAGCTGTTTTCTCTATCTTTTTCTTTCCCCCCAGTGTTCTGAAGATCACAAACACAACGATGAGTCACCTCAAGAAGATGAAGGGTTTATGGGTATGTCACCTCTTCTACAAGCCCACCATGCTATGGAGAGAATGGAAGAATTTGTGTGTAAGGTAAGGGCATGAGGAAACTGCTGAAGTAATTTCCGTTTTTAGCAAGCTCCAGTGGGCAACAGACTACACCTGCAGCAACTGGGCTAATAATGAGGGAGAGAGGGTACACACCACCCCGATTGGGCATCTCTTGCTATAAGTAGTAACACTAGAGCTTCTTGGGATCTCAGTCTGTCATAAATGAATAAACTGTAAGGCAGTAGGGATACAAATGAGACTCTAAAGCTGATTGTGCAGCTGAGGAGCTTCTTGAAACACCTGAGAGTGCAAAGCAGACTAAAACCCTTCTGGTTCAAGGCACTTTCATTCACAAGGTCGTTTCTTTTTTTTCCAGGTTTCTTCAAACTTGCAAATATTTTGCTTTTCCAGCACTATTTGCATCCATTGCAGAATAAGCTCTGTCTCTTACAAGCTATATTAAAACTATATCTAAGCAAATCCATTATAGATTTTGTAATTGCTGATCTTGGCTCAACTTTTTGCTACTTTTTAGATTCATAGGACTGTGTCTGGCCCTTCTTGCTTGGTGAAAGGAGTGCTGCCCCTTTATACACTGCTGGTTTTATGAACTATTCTTTGATGTGTTTACATGCATCTTTTCCCTTTCTAGATGTTGTGTAGGGTGGATTGTGTAAAATCAATTCCCTCCTGCTGTTCCTACTGCAATTCAAATTTTTGGTTCCTAAAGTAAACCAGTTATTTTCTTGTTTAATATATTGAATAACCTTGTCTTTAACTAGGTTGGTTATTCTGATTTGGTTTTGTTTTGCTTCCATGAAGGAGTGTAGAGAATTGATTTAAAAACTCTGTGCTCTGTTTGTTGAAACTGAAATAAGAATGTAGCTTTTTAAACTTAGTGTTTCAGGACTCATCAGGCTCACTCCTGTGTTACTAACCAGCCGACAAATCCAGGGAACACTGCAGAAACAACCCCGGTACATAAAGTAATTCCCTGATACCCCTCTGCTTGGCAGTGCTGCTTCTGAGACCAAACTGAAGACTGCATATATCTCATGTTATTGAAGCAGCTCTAAGAACACCCGTGCGCACTTTTTTCATTTGGAACCAGCTGCAAGAATAACGTGTGCACTTATGCTCTCTCTCCCTTTAAAGAAGAAATCTGATGGAAATGGATCTGTTGCCTTAACTGATCTGTCACTGTTTGTTTTGGAAGTTTGGGAGTTTTTTTTTCTTTCCAGCCTGGATAAGGGATTGGATATGTCTCACTGGACTCTTGCTACTTCATGCTTTCTGGCCCATATTAGTGCTGATGGGCAGCCTTTTTGCTAGACTGCACCAAATGCTAACAGATACACAGATTAGCTTGTGGTTGGGAAAACAGGCTCTTACTTATTTCTTGGAGGGAACTAGGCATAAACTTCATATTAAATGGAAAGGATGATATATGAAAATAACAGAGTATGGAAATGAATTAAATGTTTTCCCTTCATTAGCAGTGACAAAAGCCCAATAGCTTTCCTGCTCAATGAAATGCCGAAGTACTTCTTTCTCTAACTGGTGCAGATCAACTTCATAATGATACTGTTTAAATAGGGAGCTGTGACTTAAGCATTGTATTTATTTCAAGTGTAAAGCCTTTTCCCCAGAAATGTCCCATTCACTCTTTTCTGTTTAATGTATTCATGGACTAACACTTCTACTAATACAGGTTTTCTGACTTTTGCCATACATCAGTAGAACTCAGCTCCCTGCATTTAACTAAAATTCTCTAACCTCTAGGTATGGGAGGGCCGATGGAGAGTCATTCCCCATGATGTTCTGCCTGACTGGCTAAAGGACAACGACTACCTGTTGCATGGACACAGACCGCCCATGCCTTCCTTCCGGGCTTGTTTCAAGAGTATCTTCAGAATACATACAGAAACTGGTAACATCTGGACGCATCTTCTAGGTATTTTCAGATTGTTCTAATGCTAATTGGCTTCATTGCTCTCTTCCTTTGAAAGCAAGATAGAAAGGGTATTGGGGTAGTCAGCATTATCATTCCACTAGTAACCTGATAAATTAATAAGTTAATATGCCTCTCAATTTTGTCCCACCAGGGTTGGATGGGACTTCCTTAATTATGCATTCAATATAAAAAAATTTCCTTATAGTTGATAAAATACTAGTAGATACTCTTTTCTCCCAAGTGCGTAAGCGTTAATTGAGATCACATTTCTTGCCACAGGAACACACTTAAGCTGCGGTTTGTGAGAGTGGTTTTCAACTTGCAAGGAGCCTTGAAGGAAAAGGGTTTCTTTGAACCATGCTCTCCTCATTTTAAGTTTTGCAACAGGTTATTTCATTGTTCTACAATATCCAACTAGTTGTCAGACACAAGTGAAAATACAGAGTCCATGCAAGTCTGTATTGCATTAGTCTGAGACAAAAATGTGGTTGGAATGCATAGGGCTGTACTCTGTTCTGCATGTGTGCCGCTGGTTGTCATCCAGCTCCTCTGTGTAGTGCTTCTGTACATTAAAGCTGTGCTTCTAGAAACAAAAAGCTTTCAGTATGCATGAACTTGATGCCTTTCTGCCTCACTGTTTTTCAGGATGTGTGTTCTTCCTTTGTTTGGGAATTTTTTACATGTTCCGGCCAAACATGTCCTTTGTAGCACCCGTGCAGGAGAAGGTGGTTGTTGGATTGTTCTTTTTGGGAGCCATACTCTGCCTCTCCTTCTCATGGCTCTTCCACACAGTTTATTGCCACTCAGAAGGTGTTTCCCGGCTCTTCTCCAAGTAAGTGCCTAGAGGACAGGGTAGGCCAAATAAGAAACAGGTGGGAAAACAGGGTTGGGATTTATGCCTAGAGCCCCAGTGTAGGAGTTGTTCATTGCATGACTGCGTGTACTTTGGAACGGAGTTGAGCAGAGATTCAGTGCAGCTTCTTCTAATTATTGTTTGTTTCAGCATGAGTTTTTTGTGCTGTCATTTTAGTTTCAAAAGTCCTTCATTTTCTGCTGTTTGGCAGGCGTGTGCACACATCTTGCTGCTGTAAGTAATATAGCTAGAACTTAGTTACAGGGCTTTGAATTTTAATACAACTTCGCTTCTTGTCATTTCACCTAGTCTGAGTAACTTTGAATCTTAAACTTATGTAAGACAGCTCCACAATGTGTAGCGAAATGTCTTGGTCTTTTGGTTTTATTACATCTTGGTTTTTTTTGTCTGACTGCTAAATAGCTCATATTTCCTAAGATTACTTAACCTAGGATTGTATAGTCTGCAAGACTACCCCTAAAGTAGCCCAGCAATTAAAATCTCCTGATGAAAAATTAACTCCATCTTCTGTGTAGGAGCATTTTGTCAGGTTGTGGTAAAAAGCAATAGCTGTAGGTACTCCTTTTCTTCACTGGCATATAGAAAAGCAGCGTGGTTGAAAAATGGTGACATTTTTCCCCAGTGGTCACTTAAGCTGATGCTTGACTTGCTCATGCTTGTCAGGTACTGAAATGTTTGTGTTGGCTGTGCTCTCACAACATACTGTATGCCCTTTTTTGTATTTAGAGGACTCTTGTGCTGCTTTTTTCCTCATTTGAAGCTTAAATCTGAGTTTTCTTCAAACAGCTTTGGTCTGAAGGCTGCTGTAGGTATTGATGACCAAAAGTGGCCTTATTAGCTGTCTGTCAAAATAATCCATTACTGTAGGAGGGCATTGGTGGAAAAGTTGCCATCATGAAATAAGTTGCAATAGTGAGAATAACTTCATTTTGCAGTGAGAAGTAAGACAATAGGTTTACTAAAGAAGAGAGTGTTGGTATGAAGGCTTCCAAAGATTCACATCTCTTACAAAACTGATTTATGTTTCTTTCTAGGCTGGATTATTCTGGCATTGCACTTCTCATAATGGGCAGCTTTGTACCATGGCTGTACTACTCCTTCTATTGCAACCCTCAGCCTTGCTTCATCTACTTGATTGTGATTTGTGTCCTGGGCATCGCAGCCATAATTGTCTCACAATGGGACATGTTTGCAACCCCTGAATACCGGGGTGTAAGGGCAGGTAAGACTTAAAGTTAACCGTTTTGCTTCTTGACTGCCTTTCTTCCTTCCTACTTGGAAAAAAAATGTCTTGTGAAGACTGAAGAGCTTAATTTTATAGATATTCTTGGATTGGGAGCTTGATGGATTTTCTTTCAGCATTTATTATAGCCATCTGGATGCACAGATAAGGGCTGGTGCAAGTCCTGGAAGTGCATTCCTGAAATGGACAGTAACACATGCAGTAGGACAGGTAATGCAAAGTATTTCTAGATACATCTAGCAACTTTGCTCTCTCCAAAAATGGCTGACTGCTTGGTGTGTGTATGTGTACTTCTACTATTTGTCTTGGTTTTGAAATACTAGGCAAATTGTTCTTTGAAATACAAGCAAATCACTGAATGGTTGAATTAATCTCAATGATTTGCCTAGATAAAATAGGTATCTAAGAGAAAGAACCTACACATGATCAGAAGAACAAAATCAGATTTGGTTCCACATTCTGAGGCAGGAAGAAAGAGAAAGCTTTAGGGGGCAGCTCTAGAATGTGCACACAGCTGTGTTGAATAGTATTATTTGTTACTTAACCTGCACATGATGCCTACAGTAAATCTAGATTTCCTGGACAACCTGTGGGTATACTTCAGAGAGTTCAGCACTCAAAATCTGTGGATGGGACATGATTATTCCCACCTCCCCCCCCCCGCCCTGCCTTTCACTAGAATTCTGTATGTGCTACTGAAATCTAAATGAATAAACCATGTTCTCATATTTGGCAGATCACATGAGCTGCAGATGCTACTTTTCTGTTTCCTAGGACTAGTTGTACAGTATATGATAAATAATCTCTTTGTTGTGTCTCCTTGTTTTGCTCTTGAGAGATTATGGTAAAGTGAAACATAGTTCATGTAGTCTCGGTGCCCTCTACAGTCCAAGATCTGTAACTGGCTCAGTGTACCTCAAGCTGACAGATGCAATCAGTAAATGAAATATTGCAGTAAGTGCTGGAACATACAAGTAGGTTCTGGTATATGGAGGAATTCTGTGCATTCTTTAAATTCCTTTCCAATGAAGTGCTTCTGGGGACCTCCAGCTTCAAGAGTTGTCACTTTGCTGCTGCTTTGGCAAATACTGAGTTTTCCTTCCATAGCTTTTGTGTTTGCATTGTCTCCCTTTACCTCCACTGTGTTCAAACCTGACTCTCCCACATTTTCTTTACCTCCCAGGAGTATTTCTAGGTCTGGGTCTTAGTGGGGTTATTCCCACCCTGCACTTTGTCATCTCTGAGGGGCTCCTGAAAGCAGCCACAATGGGGCAGATAGGCTGGCTGGCACTCATGGCATGCCTGTACATCACTGGTGCTGCACTATATGCTGCCCGCATCCCGGAGAGATTCTTCCCTGGCAAGTGTGACATCTGGGTGAGTCTACAGAATGACTGGATAAGGAGACCAACATGAAAGCTAGTTCCCCTTGAGGCTGGAGGATGTTGTGTCAGTGTTTTCTTATTGGTCAGTGTTTTCTTATTGCAAGTATCAAACTGCTGCACCAGAAGCATTTGTCTTAACAGGCCATATTGTGGGCTTTCTAAGCCCGGTTTACCTCATCCCTCTCTTGCTGACTTATCACAAACTGGCTGGTCTGAAGTAACTGCTGGTGTGCAAATTCACCCCTGCACATTTACTAGATAGCTTTAATAGATGGGTAAGCAACTTGTGCCCCTTTTTGTGTGTGTGTTGAGGATTCTGCAAGTACACATCTTATCTTGCTTCTGTTTAGAATAGTGCCTGGTTATTTCTCTGTTGTTCAGTGTTTTGTCTGGGATCTTCACCATATTTGGCTCCCCATCTTGTGCAGCCAGTGAAAACACTGGATAGAGATGGTAGACTTTGGAGGGATCTCTGGCCCAGGAGAAGGGAAAGTGGTGTGAGCAAGTGGGTGTGTGAAAGAAACTTGATATGAGGGAAAGGATCATGAAGACTCTGGAGGGGAAATATGTGGGAAAGATGTAAAGAAAGAAATCGGGTGGAGCAGGAGTAGAGATGAGAGGGAGGTGGACCCTTGAAAGGCAACTGTACTTCCACTAGGACAGTTTAAGGCCCCTAAAGAAGATTAGAAGTGAGAATGAGGCCTGGGTTGTTTGAGTAGCTTTTGCAGAGCACGAGTTTGCTAGGTTTGTTTAAATAGCCAGATCAAGCCTTGTTATGATAATGAGCTAGGCTCCAAAAGCACTATTTTCCAAGCTTTCAGTGCAGCCTGCAAATACACATTTATAGATTGATTTATTTATTTCCCCCACAAGAGTATTATCCATATTGGTACGGCTTCCCTCAAACAAGGATGTGCTTTGTCATGTAGTTCCCTCATGGTTTTTATTCTGCTGTACTATAATCAATAGCATCCTGGGCATTCATTCAGAACATCTGGTTGTTCCTAGGTTTTAATATAATACCTCTTTTTTTCCTGTTCCATTTCTCTGTGGCAGAGAAATAAAATAACATTCAAAATCCATGTGGTAAAACTTACGGCTGTGACCAGAGCAGAGTTTTACCTGTTAGCTGTATGAGAGAACCTTTTTTATCAATAAACCATATTGTGGAGGAACTAATTTTAAGTGTCTTGCTGAAGCCTTTTGCACAAAGCTCAGAAATTGTCTCTTCACAAAGATGCACTATAGCATTTATGTAGCGTATTTGAGTGACGAGCTGCTTAAGATGCCTGTGAAGGAAAGGGGTGTGTATGTGTGTGTGTGGAGAATTTGATTAGTTTGCTGATGGTAGGAGTGGGATGGGCTTTTAATACACAACTTGGAGAACTTTGCAGCTTGTGGATCAAGGTACTGCTACGTGTTACTGTGTACTTCAGCCGAATGTGTGGCTTTTTTGGAGACAGGGTAGCAGTAGAGCCCAAAGTACCCCAGCTGAACAGAAGTGTTTTCTTTTCCGCAGTTCCACTCCCATCAACTGTTTCACGTCTTTGTAGTGGCTGGTGCTTTTGTGCACTTCCATGGGGTTTCCAATCTCCAGGAGTTCCGATTCACAGTCGGAGGAGGCTGCACAGAGGAAGATGGGATGCAGTAAAGCCAGCCTTCAGCCCAAGACCGTAACCAAAACAGTACCGCGAGCGCGGTTGAAGCATACAGGCTAGCAAAATGAATACCTAAGAAGAATCCAAGTTTCAGCTGATGGGGCATGGAGCTTCATGGGGATTCTGACTAACCAAGATAAATTCTATACCTCAAGCAATGGAATAAATCAATTTGAAGACCAGGAAATTCTGAAACCCTAATTTATTCTTGGGATCTACAGATTGAGCTACAGAGGACCCTTTCCAAATCGGCTTCTGTCAATGCCATATTTATTTGTAGAACTGGGGAGGGATAGCTTAGCAGTTTCCTTTTTCTTTTTTTTTTTCCCCTTTTTTTTCTTTTTTTTTTTTTTTAAGAAAAAAAACAAGGTTAAATTTATATCCTATTGGAGGGTTTGGGAGTTGATTTTAGATGCTCTTTGGGGAGAAAAACAAATTGTAAATAAGATTTCTAACTTTCTGTTTAAATAAAATTTATATAAATGTTTTAAACAATGGGTGGGGGGAAAAGGGTTTTTGTAAAGAATGCAACATGCAAGTACCACACACTGTTTCAATTTTGCACAAAACAAATGATTGCAGGAGGACCAGGTAAAATTCCCAGGAGTGAAGCATGCCCTGGGCCAGATGGGGTCCTGGCCAGCCCATGGAGTAGGTTCAGTATATGTACACAAGGATTGTGAAAGTCACAGTGTTAGCAAGTTTATTTACTCAAGTAACTCAAGATACATCTGTGCCCTGCCTGAGCGTGTGAGACATCTGCCTTCCAAGCTTGTGTGGCCTGTATAGTTTTGAATAGCGGATCTTAAAGTTGGTTGTTTTGGTTCTCATCATATGAATTGGAGCATGATGGGATAACTGCACGTGAAATAGCAAACAGTCTGACTCCATCAGTGCCTGCCTATACCCAAGGGCCCACATTAAGTAGGTGGTTGCCATTTGAGGGTGTGCTTTGCTTTGTCTGAACAAATGATGGTAATACACTTTTCAAAAGGTTGTTGAGCATGTGAGGGGAACCAGGGGTGGAGTTAAGATGGACTGGAAAGAGGAAACTGTGTGCTCCAGGACTTGGAGTTAACAGTTACTGCAGACTCAAGCACATTACCTTCTCATGTATCAGGCTCCATATGCCAAGGGAGTTTGCAGGTTTTTCTTTTTAAGGGGAAAAATCCACCATCAGCCTAATGCAGTTCTATATATTTTTTTTTTTTCTTCCTTAGGTCTGCTTCCCATCTGTGCTTAAGCAATGGGACTGCTGGTATTTCTTAACCCAAAACTTAAGAGTTCAGTTGGATTGCTGTGGAGCTGACGCGCCTCCTATATAAGGGGAGGCATAGACCCTTCTCTTGTGTAATTGATGTAGCTTGATCTTTGGAGCCCAGTCAGAAGCCAGGCTGAAGGAGAATCTTTGGAGTCGCAAGATGAAACTTGAACGTTTTGTTTGTTATGGCACAGGTATTGCTTGGAGTGTTTAATTGGAAATTCAGAGCAATTACCTCTCACAGATGAGTTAAACAGCTCATTAAATGCTGTATTTCACAAAGAAGGAAGGTAAAGGGTGTTTTGTTTTTTTTTTGTTGTGTGTTGGGTAGGGTTTTGTGTTTTTTGGGTTTTTTTTTTATCTTTTTAAGACTCCTGCAAGCTTGAATTTTCATCCTTCAAGAGAAAAATGTGGATTGCAAAGATCTTCCTATGCCTTGGATGTTGCAGAGAGTGTTTTGGGGAGTTTCTTTGCCTAATGGAGTTGCATAGAAGTAGAATGCCTTCCTAAAGTTGATGAGTGGTATTAAGGCTTCACCCCTTGAATATGAGCCTCTGAGAGCAAGGTCAGCTGCAGAAAGAGGTGCTGCAGCAGAGTCTGCGAGCTTAGAAAGACATGTTCTCAGTGGGATCACTACACTGGATGCCCGTAGGGCCAGAAGAAGTTTATCACAGGTCTGTGTGGTAGTAAAGTGAAGTAAAGAGCAGTATTAACTTGGATGTAAGGGCTAATAGCAGTGGCATTCCGCACAAAGATGTAGAGTTGCCTGGAGGAAAGTGTATTGGTGTCTGAGAAGAGCATGGTACATATCAGAATCAGAGTTGTCTGTAAGGCGCTTTAGGATACCTCTGTAACAGTACCAGCAGAAGTGGCAGTCTCCATCCTGGATCATCCCACGTTCACTCCTTGAAGGGTGATTGTAACCTGGTCCTACACAGCACAGAACTATTACAGAAACACAGTACTCCACCTGCTATTCTTAACCCAGTCAGTCTCTCCATTCAAGAAGTTTGTGTGTTCCAATAAAAACAACCTAGCTGTGCACTTTTCTGTAGCTTTTGCTGAGAACTCTTCCCAGGTTGGCACCTGAATGCCTTACTCTCAGCAGTCAGAGGCTTGCTTGCTCTGTGTGCAGGTTATTGCCATAGAATAGTTAGGACCTACAGCTTCTTTCCTTCCCCATTAAATAGTGGCCTTGTTCAGTATATTTCTTTTTAAAAATTGCTTACTGTTGGAAGCAATGAAGCACATTCTGGGGTTTTGATGGTGGGGGACTCTGGTGATGGTTCCATGTACGATGGGATCTTATTACTTGCTGTATTCTTAACTTCTGCTAATAAAAGAACCAAATGGATTATTGTCTGCTTTGAGTCTTTCTGTGCTGTGTGTGAAGCTTGAAAGAGTCGCTCCCACTTCCTTCCTTCCCAGTGCTTACAGGCAGTGCCTTGTAGGTAGAGGAGTTTTGCTGATGCAGAAACCAAACTGATGCTTAAATTCTTGTTTATGTGTGACTGAACTGATGCTTGCTGTGTGCCTCCCCAAGCAAAAGCCAGTGGGGTGGGAGACAGACGTCAGTACTACTGTGTGGCATCCTTTTGATGTCTGTAATTCACATCGAGTATGTGCCTGGTCTTGCTGTAAGATTTCAGTACTGTCTAATGCATTTAAATATCACAGCAAAGGTGTCAGTGGGCTGTGCTGCCTCTTACACTGCTAATCTCCAAGGGAAATTTGTTTTTCCAGCGTTTAGACTTCGATACCCAACAGGGTTGCCAGTTGTAGTATGGGGCTGGTGGTGGTGGTAGGTTTGTCTGCTGCCAGTACTTCATGAAGTAGTGGTAACATGGTTTAGTGTGAGGTGTCCCTAGCCATGGCAGGGGGGTTGGAACTTTATGATCTTAAGGTCCTTTCCAACCCTAACTATTCTATGATTCTAAGCTGCCCATCATAAGAATTTCCCTGACATACAGTTATTCTGAACTTGCAGAGAATGAAAGGCCTGGAACTACATATATCTTGTCCTATCTCAGCTTGGTTTTGACCTCTTGTCATACTTAAAAGCAACTTGAGAACAAAGTGGGATAGGTGTTACTGTTAAATCTTGCCTTTTGTTTTGAGAAGCTTAGCTGAACCCATGTGGTGGAGTTGAGGGGTGGTCATGGGGCTGGGCAGCCTTTGTCAGGTTTCTCACCATCCCCCAGGCCTCCATCTGAACCTACTATTTCAGAGGTTATCTATTTCTGCATGTTTAGAGACACTAATTTTCAGTGGCTTGGTTTCCCAGTTCCTGGTCTTGCAGATTGTGGAGCAGACTGCGTGTGTGCTGTCCCCTTCCTCTCTTCCTAGGCTGCCTCCTACTGCTGCAGGCTGGGTGCCAGGGGCTAATAGGCAGGCAGGGGAAAGGAGCAAACAGGCCAAGGAGTCAAACGGGGTGGAGCATGGTGGAAGGAGCAGAAACTGATTTATGGACAGTGTTGGAAAGCCAAAGGTGAAGCATTGGTGGGTGAGAGCTTGCATGGAAAAAAGCAGGCAGGAGGGGCCAAGGGTGTGAAGAGCAAGAGCTGGGGGAGGAAGAGAGTGTGTGCTGAGACCTGGGTTGTTGTGGGTAAATTTTTTGGTGGGTTGAAACTGAGAAGAGATAGCCAGGAGGCCTGGACTTAAATTCCTGGTGTAGAGGAAGTGCCTCACAGCCTGTACCCCTGTAAGGGACTGATCTCCTCCTGGTATGCAGGCTTAAGGCTGGCAGGGGTGAGGAGGAGGAGTGGGCTTTGACAGGGCAGTGACTGGGGCTGGTGGTGACCAGAACAGCCGTGTGCCTGGAGTGGGGCCTTCTGCTCCTGCATCGCTGTTCCTTGACTGCCAGCAAGCACATGTGGACTACCTGGGCAGGATATGCCTAATCGTCCTCTTGTGTTGGCTCACGCTGAGTCTGGGCATCTACAGCTGGGCTGTTTATCAGCTGCTTAACTCAAGACACGTGTTTTGCAGTGCCTCATACGAGATCCAGCTTCAGTAAATGACCTGTGACAGCTCGAGGTTCTAGTATGGAATCTTTTATTTAATGCAAAGCAAGTTCAAGGAGCATGGAGAAAGTCGTTGTCAGATTACGTGTGAATTACACTAAAAGAAGCTGCCATGTTTGAGCATGAATTGGGTTTATTCTGTTTTCAGAAAGCAAAGTGATGCTTAAAAGTTGTCTGTGAGGCTACACTTGCATGGCCTACCTCTGCATGTAGCTGTGGCCGTGCTTTGCCCTCTCCCAGGAATCACTTCTTCCATTCATTGCAAAGGGTGAACTTACCCTGAGTATGGACTGAAGCAAGTGTATGATTAGGATGGAGGAGCTGAGTTTGGTTTAGTTGAAGCTATTAGAGGCTTTCTGCAAATCTGAGTTCTTTTTTTCCTTTTTATTTATTTATTTTTGCCTTGTGTGGCATCATGCACTTTATCTGAACCAAGCTCTCCTGCTGGTCTCAGAGCTGCTGTATTTGTCTGGAATGCCCAAGCTGAAATTGTCTAGGCTGTCTTCCAGGAGTACTGAGCACTGATGTGCTTTAAATGGAGTTCCCTGAAAAGACCAGCTCCTTGGAGAGGATGTGCGTTATTTCCTAGGTCTGTATGTCCTTTATGAAAAAGGAATACCAGCCTCAGGCTCATGGCAACATGGAACACGTCATACCTGATCATCTTCAGCTATGTTAACTATGAGCAACATAGGGGAAGCACAGGAGGAATCCTCTGCCCAGCATCACCTAGGCAGTGATGCAGTTCAGCTGTTGAGAAGAGGACCAGCTGTAACTGGTCCCTTGTTCACCACCCTGCTCACCATCAGGAAGGTAGGCTCTTTGGGGAGGGATGGCAGGATGTGAGCCTAACACTCCCGTGTGTGTGCAAGGGGGTGATTTGCCAGCTCGGTTGTATTTCAAGCATTCGCAGGAGCTTCTCCTTTGCTCTTCTCTCCTCTAGTATAGTTCATGTTTGAACAGCAGAGCTGTTGCTGTTTCTGAGCTGTGAGATGTTTGCACTGGAGATTCGCAGTGATTTCACTTATTAGCAGCTTCATGTCTACAGTGGTACAGCTGGGCACAGAGGCTCTTCACAGTTGGCAGAAAAAACAAACCAGTCTAGCTGTAAATGAGATGGGAAAATCATAGGCCTGGCTGGGCTCCCAGACCAGCGGCGTGCTTCCCTTTTGGAGGCAAATGGCACCCAAACCAGCTCCAGCAGCTAGCTTTTGTTCTCCTCTCCAACCATGCCAAACCTGTGCATATGGTGTGAGGTTTGTGCTGGCTGGAGCTGAGCTCCCCTGGACTCAGGAAGTTGTTCAGTGCAGCCAATGCCAGGCTGCAAGGCCGGAGCAGGGGCAGGCTGGGGTGGCTCCCCAGTGTTGGCAGCAGTGGGATGGGGTGGGATGGGATGGGATGGGATTGGAAGCCATTCCTCCTGGGAGGGAGCAGCTGCTGCCACTACCTCCTGCCTGCTCCTGGCTCAACCCTGGCTCTGGCACAGCTCCCCAGTTGTATTGCCTGCAGCAGCAGCCAGGCTGGCTGTGCTGCCTTTGCCAGGGAGCATCCTGCCAGTATGGAAAGCAATACTGTGTCCCTCAGAGCCAGGCGGGAGCAGGGTGACGGCAGGCTCCAGCTCCTGCTGTGCCAGGCAGCTGGCTGCACAGTGCTGAAGAAAGCCATTGCTTTGGCTAGTGTGTGACTTCCAGCATCGCTGTGCTCCCTCTTGTTGCAAGGGCTTCCCCAGCAGCTCTCTGTCCCCTTCCCTGCCGTTTGTGAGAGGCCAGCCCCTAGTGTGACAGTGGCCTCCAGAAAGGCTGGCAGTCTCCCACCATCCCCGCAGCCTTTCCTCAGGGAAGTCCAAGGAAGCGCCCATGCACATCCTCATAACCCTGGCTGGAAGAGCGGCGGTGGCTGCCTGACGCAGGAGGAGCCAAATGGAGATGTAAAGACAGGGCTCAGTGCCCAGCCCTCTCCTGTTGCCAGCAGCGGGGTGCCAGGGCTCTCAGCATTTGAGCCGGCAGCAGGCAAAGCAGGAAGAGCTGATGAAATTGCCTGCACGGCCCACGAGGTATTTACTGAAGAAATGTGCTTGGTGGTGTTTAAGCGAGGCCATCACAGTTTGCGTCAGGTGCTGGTGACGGGCTGCATTGCTGTGGTTGATGTCATAGGAGGTAATGACAGCGGTGTTTGCTGGCTGAGTGAGTGACAGGCAGTGCCCAGGCTCCTCTCAGGTGCATGCAGAGGTGGTGTGAGGGAACCTGCAGCAGAGGCTTTGGTGAAGAGCCTGCACAAAGGGATGGAGGAGCTCCCCCTGGTCCAGGGGGAATGGGAGCAGCAATCCCCTCCAGGGAGGGTCCAACTGGTGATGGAGCCATTCAGCACATGGGAGCTTGATGCTCTTTCTCCACTTGCTTTTGAAAAGCTGCTTCATGTATGCTGCATTTGGCTGCCCTCAGCCCCTCTCCCCTGCAAGCAGAGGTATGCAAGAGCCCAGGGTTTCTGCAATGAAAGTGCCATTGGACTTTATCATCAGAAGCAGCATCTGGAAAATATTCTCAGGAGCTTGAGTCTGAGATGTGCACATGAAACCAAGCCAGACTGTGGTACTGGTCTTTTGCTGGGGTAGAGAAGGGCACCGTCCCCTCTTAACCCGCTTGGAGCGTGTGGCTCCTCGCTGTGACTGCTGCCACACCAGCGTGGGATGTGCCAGGCTCTTGCTAAGGATAAGCCCACTCAGGTCAGCCTCCTACCTTTGTGCCCACTCCCAACTGCGAATGGCTGCTGTACATCCAGGGCTGATTTTCCTACTGTTTTGTAGGGTGAAGACATCCCTGTCTGACATACTTGAAGGTTTAGCCATCCACCTGCTCTGACCCAAGGCATGAGGCAAGGAAGGGTATGTGTATGTGCAAGATGCGTGTCCCTGCCCACAGCTCAAACATCCTCAGTGCCCACTGTAGCATCCAGGGTTACCTCAGCCTGCAGTGGGGTGTTTCCAAAGCCTGTAAGGGGTGTAACAGAGATTTTGGGTCCCTCTCCACCTGGCTTGGAGGAAATCAGCTGCAGGTTTAGGGCTTGGGAAGCCCCTGATGTGTGTGGTAGCCAGATGTGGCTGGGTAGGGCTGATGGACATCCCTCACTGCAGAGCAACACCTGGAACCTTCTCCCATTGAGCCTTGCCTTATTGGAATAACCCCTGATGCCTACAGTGTGTGTGTTTGTGGGGGTGAGCGGGATCTTGCAGGAGGTACAGCTGTGATTTACAGTGCTGTATCAGGATGGCGGTGGGATGCTGCTCATCTGGAAGTGAGAGGTGGTTCCTCTCACAGCTGCTCCTCTGCTGGTC